GAGACAGAGAAATGCTAGGGGACAAATAAAATAAATTGATAAGACAGACACAAGCCAGTATGGTCCTGGAGGGCCTCCAATTAGAAGTAGGTGGGGGTTTTTTAATATTTAATTTTTTACTTTTTAATCTTTAATTATGTATATATGTATGTCAGAGTGTGTGAGTATGGGAAATGCACCTGAGTGCAGGTGTCTAAGGAAGCTAAAAGAGAGCATTGGATTCCCTAGAGCTGGGATCACAAGTGATTGTGAGAAACCCATATGTCGGTGTTGGGAATGGAACATGGGTCCTCTGCAAGAGCAGTAGGCATTCTTATCTACTAGGCCATCTCTTCTGCCACGAAGAGGTGGCTTTTGAAATAAAATCTGAACCACTCAGAGAAAGGTCCATAGCAGAAGGATCCACAGAGACTGTGTCCCTGAAGGAGGCCCACCAGCTGGTAGCCTCCTGGGAGAGAAACAAGGTCCTTGGGTGGCCCTCAACAAGACGTGGGCTGAGAATTGGGTGAGGGAGAGAGGAGACTGATGTTGGTTCCTGCACAATTCTCCCCCAAAACTATTTCTGGAGACTCAACAAATGAACTGTAGGAGGCACAGAGGTCCTTGTGCTCACAGATAAGAACTAGGGGAATCTGGACTGTTAGACAGGGAGGGTGCTGTCCTTCAAAGAAAGGGATATATAACCTATTATCCACCCAGAAGGCTAGGAGTAGAGGTGGTTAATTGCGCTATCTTTGTGGTGGGAGACTATACTAGATTCCCCCCTTCTGCTCCCTAGCCCCGGTTCTTTTTCTCAGGCAATCTACAGAACCCGTCTTTATGGGAGGCATCACATGTACTTTACAAAGAACTGCAATGTTGTCACATCTGATCTTTATTTAGCTCACTTTGTTCCTCAAGGAGATTTATGTATGTGTTATTGTGCACACGGGACTGAGTTCATTATCACCAGGAAAGTTTTAACCAAACTGTACTATATTTAAATAGGCCTAAAATCAACTACTGGGGGTCAGACTCCCAAAGTTTGAATCCACACCAGCTACTGAGTCATGTTGAGCCGAACTACCTTCTTGCCTCCTGTGGATTAGTTCTCTGCTGTCCATGGTAGTCTCAGAGACCCCTACAAGACACCTCTTCCTCTGAGCAGGCACAACCCCTTACCCAGCCACAGAAGAGGGGTGTGGCTGGCCCCTAAGCCCCTCTGCCCTTGTGAAATATAAATACAAAGAGGACCTCGATAGTGCCATCTTCTGATTCAGACAGAACCAGAGAGAAGGCAGAAACCAGAGCCTTGTGCTGGCCAGATTGGCAACCCGGGAGACATCACTGAGGAAACAGTTGACAGAGCTGGAGGTGACCTCCAAGGTTCATTTGACATGCCTGTGAGCATTCCTGACAGAGCATTTAGAGAGGACAGTGACCTTAGGGAAGAGAGTGATCCCCTAACATGTCACTCTGCCCAGGAGGGGGTTAAGGTGGAGGCCAGAAGCCAACGTTTAAGGAGAAATGCAGAATGAGCTTCGGAGTGGGTGCCACCTTAAACGCTGAGTCTCTTTAGTAGTGGCAGGACGGTCTTCATCACAAATGGCTCCAGCACAGTTGGATGTTGTTTTAGAAAAGAGAAAAAAACACCCAACCTTTAATTCAAAGCTCATATAAAAATAAAAATAGGTGACAATCCAAAGCACAAAGAGGAGGAAAGGTGGAATGTGCATCCTTTTAGATAGAATTCTAAAGACTCACTAGATTTTATTAAAGCTAAAAAAAAATGCCACAGACTGAGAAAATATTTGTGTGTGTCTGACATGAAACTTGTTTCCTGAATATGTAAAGAACACTAGCAACTCAATAACCAAGTGGGAAGTGATCCAAGCTTTCAAAAGTGAGTGAAAGATTTACACAGACCATTTGCAGAGGAAAAGAGACCCATGGCCCCTGAGCCCATGAACTCACACTCAGTATCATCTGTTGTCAGGGAAACACATATCTGAGACCTTAAGGAAATGCCACTTCACACCCAGTTGGATGGCTAAGTAAAGAGCAATGAAAGTATCAAGTGTTGGCAAAAAGTCAACTGAGACTCTCGTCTTCGGCTGAGGATGTAGAATGTGCAGAACAAACACAATGTCCTAGAGATTCAGACACCAGTGTTCATAGGAACTTGATTCACAACAGCCAAAGGCTTGCCAGAACGCCAGTGATTATCAACAGAACAGTGGCTGGGTAAGCTGTGGCTACCCATCATCTGTCAGAAGTTACTCTGCAGTAAAATGGAATTGTTGGTACACATGGTGTGAAAAGGAGAAAAATTCCTATCTGTGTGTTGAGGCTTGCCAACTTGACTAGGTAACAGCGGTCCATTTGAGTGACCAGAACTACACCTGCAGACTGACCTTCTGTGGACAACAGTGGAGTCCTCGAGTGTCCCAGGAAGTTGCCCTTTTCCTTCTTTACGGTGTGATGAACTAGCGCTTACCACTGAGACTTGATGAGCACTGGAAATGAACTCCGAATTAACCAGCCACCCCTGCCTTTTCTTCCAGAGGTGAATGGCCCACAGCCCAGGGACAAGGAGGGCAGATGAGCCTTGTCCAAGGACACGGGCCTGGACTTAAGTACTGACCACGGGGAGCTCAGGTTTGCAAAACAGAAATGAAAACAACTGGATTGACTCCACCCAGTCCCTCTTGTCCTCCTGGGCACAGTCAGGAGAAGTCTGGGTTTCTAGTGAGCAAGGTCAGGCCTGCAGGCTGAGGAGCCACTAAAGGCCCTGATCTATGGGACATACTGTAGAGGTAGCATTGCTCCAGGGCCACAGCCGTGGGAATGGGCGAAGGACATGTTCATACAACACCTCGGGCATGCATGTGTATAGCAGCTGTTTTCATAAGCATCAAAAAACAGAAACACCACAGATGTCCTCCGACAGATGTGTGGTTAAACTAACTGTGGTACATCAATCAAATAAAACACTACCCAGCAATAAAAAGGAACAAACTGTTGCCACCACAACATCCTGGATGAATCTCCTGGTAACCAGAGGGTTATTCGTCACGCTTCCATTTATAGAACTTTCCTGAAATGATATAATTACAGGCATGGAGAACAGATTACTGGGGAGGTCAAAAGCAATCACTGAAGCCTTGTTCATTTTAGGAGAAAATCTGGGTAGCCTGTAAATACCAGCAGATGGATGGTGGCATCAATCACCATCAATACAGATGCAGTGCTGAGTGAAATGGGGAGGTCAGGAAGAATACATTTCAGATGGATTCTATGTCCCCATAAAGGTTAAAGCAGGTAAACAATGTGGGGGGGGGGAGGGCTGCAAGAAGAGAACAGTGATTGTGACCATTGAGATGACAGGAGGCTAGGGCAATGGGACAGACAAGAAAGAGCTTTGGAGAGACGCCCTCAAGGTTAAAGGACACTGTTTGCTCTTTTCAATTATGAGCCTGAGTCTTTAATGGACAGGCCATCTCTCCAGCTCCATTTCTCCTTCTTGTTAGACTACAGAGGGTTATCATTGTTTAAATTGTACCCCACACACATTCACACATATGTGCACATGCACAAACTCATGCATGCACACACACATGCACATGCACGCATAAATTCACACACACACACATGCACATGCACACATGAATTCACACACACACACACACGCACATACACACACACACACACACACACACACACACACACACACACACACACACACCTCTGTGGGTATAAGACTTCATGGTGAAAGTGCGGAGAAGCAATGGGTGTGAAGGTTCTGGGTAGGCTGAGGAACTACCAGGCCACAGACCAGTGGTTCTCAACCTCTGGGTCAAGACCCCTTGGGGATCAAATGACCCTTTCACAGAGGTCACATATCAGATATCATGAATATAAGATACTTACCTTACGATTCATAACAGTAGCAAAATTACAGCTATGAAGTAGCAACAAAAATAATTTCATGGTTGGGCTGGGGGTCACCATAACATGAGGAAGTGCATTAAAGGACCACACAGCATTAGCAAGGTTGGGAACCACTGCCATAGAGGGATGAGACCCAGTAGGGTAGCTTTGGGCACTAAGACTGGAGGCAGGTACTTGGATTGTGTCTTAGTTAGGGTTTCTGTTGTGATGACCATGACCAAAAAGCAAGTTGGGGAGGAAAGGGCTTATTTGGCTTACACTTCAACATTGCTGTTCATCACTGAAGGAAGTCATACAGGAACTCAAACAGGGCAGGATTCCAGAGGCAGGAGCTGATGCAGAGGCCATGGAGGGGTGCTGCTTCCTGGCTTGCTTCCCCTGGCTTGCTCAGCCTGCTTCCTTATAGAACCCAGGACCACCAGCCCAGGGATGGCACCCCCCACAGTGGGCTGGGCCTTCCCCCTCCAACACTGATCACTAGTTGAGAAAATGCCCTATAACTGGATCTCATGGAGGCATTTCCACAAGAAGCTCCTTCCTCTCTGATGGCTCCAGTCTGTGTCAAGTTGACACACAAAACCAGTCAGTACAGATTGGAAGGGTACAGAAGTGATGGGGGCCAGAGGTGGAGAATGAAGAGGAGCTGAGCCTAAGAAGCAAGAGAGGACACAAAGCAGAAGAGGAGGGTGGGAGGTGAGAAGGGAGATAAAGAAAGGAGGGAGGAGAGAGAGACGTTGGCAGGGTGGACACCCCTCCCCCCAGAGAGCCCACTGGGCATCTCTGTGGCTCCCTGCTTTGCAGCTATGACACCTGTGTGGCTTGGGCCACCTTTCTGAGGTAAGACATCTTAACGGAGCCACAGGCACTGTCTGCAGGTTGTGTATGTCATCCTGGAAGGACATTCACTCCACGGTCTCCACTAAGAGACAGTGGTCGTGCTAGAGCTCACCCTGTGGTGACACATACCACATCTTATTAATTCCTAGGTTCTGTTTACTCCCGTTATACAAATGAGGATACCCAGGCTCAAACAAACACTGATTTACCCAAGCCACACAATACAGAAAAGCCAGACTCCCCGCTTTGTTCTGCCCAATTCAAGAGCCAAGCACTCCAGAGTGGGGGCACAGGGTTGCCACTGAAAGCCCGCGTCTATCTACTCCTGGTCACCCCGTCACTCGGCCAACCCCAGGAAGACTGGAGTCAAGTGTCCTAGGAAGGGCGCCAGCCACGCTGGATTTGGGCTGGAGGCTGGCTCACCAACCCAGCTGGCCCACCGCAGGCCTCAGTTTCCCCATTTGGCCAAGGCAGAGAGCGGATGGCGAGAAATCAGGGGTCCTGCTCGGCCCGCCCCCGGGGGTGGGGCTGGGAGTGGTCACGTGGAGGGGCGCCGCGCCCGGGGTCTCCCGCCCACTCGGCGTCGGGAGCCGGAGCCCGGAGCCGCCAGCGAGGACGCCGCCGCGAGGGCTGGAAAGGCGCCGCCACGCCGGGGCTGCTGAGGTCACGGTCACCGGGGCCTGAGGGCACCTGCTCGCTCTTCCGCCCGCTCCCTGAAAGCTGTGCGGGTGGCTGGACCCGCAGCGGCGACGCCGACCACAGCAGCAGCAGCAGCAGCAGCAGCAGCAGCAGCGAGGACTGGAGCGCGGGCAGCCCCAGCAGCAGCCACGCCAGCAGCGACACCATGGATCTGTCTTTTATGGCCGCGCAGGTAACCCGGAATCTTCCCCACGCTCCCCGGGTCTCCAAGTTTGCAGGACCCCAGCCTCGCTGTCCTCCTCGGTGCAGCTCTAGCGTCCGTGGCCAGGTCCTTTGTCCCGAGCCCGGCAGTCCCACCTGGTGCACGTACCCGGGGCCAGCAGCTTGGCTGTCCCGGGTGAAGTGGCCCGTGTCCCTCGCACACCGAAGGTGGAGTGGAGCTGTCTCCACTGAGCACCCCACTTCTGAGCAAGACAGCTCTGAGGAGCCTGGACAGCAGGAGTCGCCCCTCCCTGCCCAACCCCCACTCGCTGTTTGCGGTGGTGCCCCCGGGCTGGCAGAGGACAAGCTGAAAAGGAGCTGCCCTCCCCACTCTGGTTTTGCTTGGTGCTGGCACCTTGTCACTTGTTGGTGTCCTCGGGGCAACCCCCTTTCTCTCCACTGTGGGTGGGACTTTAGCCCCTACCGCTCAGGGAGGCAGTGGCAGGGCTTTGTGACAGAGATGGATGGTTTAATCCGTTTTTGCTTTGTGCCGGATTTGAGCAGGAGACCACTACCCTTTCCTCCACACAAAACAGGCTCCTCCTGGCAGACGTAAAGATGACCTTTTGGCGCTCTGCCTGGTCTCGGCGGCAGGAGAATGCCTTGGAGTTGTGATCTTAGGTGTTGATTCTCTTGAGCCAGAACAAAGACACACGCCCTTTTCTGGGGTTGTGTGTAGCCCTTGAGAAGACCCGGAGCTGACCATAGTGTGGCTACAGGGAGAGGCTACATCTGGCTGGACACAAGTCCCAGTCTACAAGTCAGACATTCCACCTTCTGTGGTTGTGTTGGGAGCGCAGGGACAGCGAAGCCAACCCTGTTGTCTCCTGGGTGTGTGCCCAGGGCCCCAGTCCCTGCTGCTTGTCTTCGGGAGTGACGTTTGAAGGGACACTTTGCTTTCTCCAAACTTCACCCGTGTGGTGGAAGTCTGTTTAAAATGTAACTTCAAAAGCCAGACTGGATGTAGAGGGTTGTTCCCAAATGGGAGCATCAAATGACACAAAGTCCCCAGGTTGGCTCTGGGTGATCAGGACCCAGAGTTGAGAATGGTTCAGTTAAGCAAATGAACCATAACCCTAACAATTCCTACAACCTGCCCTTCTTTGCTGATGACCCACCCCGTATTTTACCCGTATGTAAATAGGGTCATGTGGAAAACAGTCACTTCCACTGAAGATGGAAGTGTGTTTAGCTGAGCTGTAACTGCAGTGAGGAGAGAAACTCAAATCCTCTCTGCAGCCCACAGAAGCTGGTGTTTCCATGGTTACAAGATAAATTGATCGTTACTAACTAACCTTTGGGGCTGGCTAGAGCATCCACGGTTGCTATGGTGACTTGACAGTACAAACAGGGCTTTTCTGCACCTCTGGGCAGAGCCTGGGGGAGTCAGTTTGTTGTGGTGGTGGTGCGTCAGTGGGGTTTTGTTGTTTTTGTTTTTTTTATAATTCACATTTCACTTGGTCAGTTTGTTCGTGCCAACAGATGGCATTGATTACATGCTCAGCACCCTGCCAGCTGAAAGGAACAGAAATGTATTCACATGCACACCAATGGAAGACACACTAAGGTTTCTTGAGGACCTACTGTGTGTAAATGCTTGCAAGTCCTATTAGCCTGGAGTTCTATAGGTCGCATGCCAGATGTCAGGAATAATTTACCTAAGGGCAAGCAGTTCATGAGGGAGGAAGCTGGTTTTTTTAACTTAGACCCTAGGCTCTGCAGAGATTCTGGGGTTTCCCCCGTGTGACTTCACCCTAGGGACACATTCCAAGATGGTTTATCTGTCCCCTCCCTCTGGAGGTGCTGACACCATGGTGTCTCCTGCACAGCATGGCCTTGGTTGTGCTCAGTATTGCTTCCTGCCATAGATCTGTCTCACTGTCTCCATAGGATGAGAACTGCTACTTTTTGAAAAAATCTGAAGGACCTAGCAGTGTGTGGGGAGTGAGCACTCAGCCTCTGTACACCTCTGTATGTGTCTGTGTGTGCATGTGTGAGTGTGTGTACGCGTGCATACACACGTGCGTACACATGCGTTTGTGTGTCTGTGTCTGTGTGTGTCAGTCCCTGCTTCCTGTCCCCAGTTTTGTCTGGCAGTGAGCACCTGCAGAGATATGATGGAACTCCATTTACTTCTTCAGTACCTTTGTCATAGACCCTGTCAAGCACTAGGACAGGAGAGCTGAGAGACAGAGTTGGATGGGACCTAGATCCTTTCTCTGGGTGCTTACAGGTCAGACCAGGACCCAGCATGAGAAATAGATCAAGTACTGGGCCCAGCATGGAACTAGCACACAGTAGTTCTTCAACAAGGTTGGATGAGGGTGAGATGAGATGTGTGCTCATGAAAAGACACTCAGATGAACAGAGAGCGAATGCAAGATGTCACATGTGTATCCCATCACCAGGACTTTGAGAAGGAGGCAGTGGACATGTTAGGATGACGGGCAGATGGTCCCGAACAAGCCTGGGAATGAGCCTTCTCGAGAAAGCAGCGTGGAGGTAGTGGGACCTGTGACATATTCAAAGCCCTTTAGAGAGCTAGAGGGCAGGAGGTACAGTGGGTCTGAGAGCGAGAGGTCAGAACCAGGCTACGGAAGGTGTTGATTGGCAGGGAAGGTGTTGATTGGCAGGTGAGAAGTCGGGGCTGAATCAGAGAGCACTGGGAGCCGTTGTGTTCTCCAGCACAGAAATGGTATATATGCCTGGGGAAAGAAACCCTCTTCCCCCATGGGGAATGGAAGCTGGAGGAATGGGCGGAGTCAGGAGTGTGTTCACTGATGAAGGGAATGAGACCAGATCCTACTCCAGACCTGGGCTTCCTGCCTTCAAGTGCAGCCAATACTCAACAGGATTCCTTTCAGTATCTTAACATGATTCAGAGCATATAAACCTTTGGAAGAGTTTGGGACTGCAAAAAATAAGTGTGGAGATGGCACCCCATCAGCTGTGCAGTGTGGACATGTTACCCTGATGCAGGGGTATGCCCTTCATGCTCCGTAGGAGGCTGAGAGAGCATAGGAGAGGCTCAGCCTCAAAGGTTTAAGGTAGAGCCCCAGGACGGCAGCCTGGGGCACCTGGCCACCTTGGGAATATCCACACAGTCCCTTATGATCCCTGGATCCTGGAAGCTTTGGAGATTGTGGACGTGTGGGACATCCATATCTCTGTAGCCAGAGGTGACCAGATGGGCAGGGCCACCAAGACTCCAGGGCTCAGGAGAGAGGGAGGGTCACAGGTCTCTAAGATTGAGCCCAGATCCTTGCACTCAAAGATGGCTACCACCCACTCTTTCTCCTCGGGAGCCCCATTCTGCTTTCCTTCCCTTCAAACCTGGGCCACCATAGTGACTTTCAAGACCCAGAACATGTTGGTGACACCTAGGAACTTCTGAGACTGAGTCCTGAGAAGCAACCTGGGACCGGTGTACATCTACTGTAGGGGAAGCCAGTGTCATGCAGGAGACGTGATATTGCTGCGACCTTTGCGCTAGAGGAGGGATTCTGCTGTGCGCACTGGCGCTCATTCCCACAGCGTTTGTGACGGGGATCACACCTTCCCGTACACTTTGGATCAAGCATGTAGGAAATGTCAGCCATGCTTCTTCTATCTTGGACTGTCTCTAAAGTGACTAGTGTCTGTCTGGTATTAGTCAATTTTTCCTGACCTTAGGGTCCTCCTGGGGGCTTTAGAAGTTCCATTACCCTTGCCTCCAGTCCCACCCCAGTACCCCTATCACAGTAGTACTTCCAGTGTCCATCAAAACAGAGGCCTGGAATACACACTCAGCCAGCAGCGTCGCCTCCCTGCCCTTGCTTGAAGCATGTCCTCGACTCTGTGGCCAGCCTTAGGTCATAAAAAGACATGGGGCCATGGAAATTACCAAACACAATACTGATGTCACAGCTTAAAATGTTTAAGCCAAGAACTTGCTCCAAATCTGAGAGCCCCCCTCCTGTAGATTCTGCCTGTCACAGAGGCTGATGGGTAATTCCGTTCTTCCCATTGTTCAGACTGGGAGGAAACAGATAGCCTGGGGGCACAGCTACCTCCTCCACAAACAGGGGAGTGGAGCCCCCAGAAGTGGTGGTACAATGAACCCTTCTAGAATCCGCCTCAGGGAATCCCTCATTTTCTCAGATATACAAAACCTTAGGTTTTATGCCCGTGTTTTAAGCAAGTCCTTAAATGAGCAGAAAGCCAGTTCAAACTAGAATTTCTTCTCCTATACCTCTGAAGCCAGAAGTCCACACACAGGTGTCCACCTGTCCCGATCACTGAAGGCCTGGAAAGAGGCTTGCCAATGGAGCATCCGGGTGTCCCCTGCCACCATCGGTACCCCTTGACCTCTAGATGTTCACCCCGGCCTCCGCTCCTGTGACTACATGGCACCTCCCCGTTTGTGCTGGGTCCTCATATGGGCCCCAGCCTGGTGGGCTGAGGGCCACCCTAGAACCTTACCTTAATCCCGTCTGCACATAGACAGAGGCTCTCTTTGCAACTAAGAAAGCTGCTGGACTTCAGTATCCTTGCGGGGACACAACCCAACTGACAATGGGGTCTGGAGACCCCCACCTTAGCGAGTCAGTGAGCAGACTCCTCTCCTAATCGCAAGTTCTTCAGCTTTGAAATGTTGACAAAACACTGCTCATTTTGTTCACTGGACAGGGATTTCCGGTGTGTCAAGACCACAGGGGATTGGAGGGTGTGGCCCCAGACCCCTGGGAGCCCACCAGGAGCACCTTTGATAGAGCTTGACTGGAAGGCTGTGTAGCTGTCGTACACACACAGGGGTGAGGGGCGGAGGAACCAGCATGCCATGGTCAACATCGTCTTTAACACGGTGTGTCCTTTCCAGTGGGGATTGCTATGCGCCTGGCAGTGGGTTAGAGCAGAGGGACCGGTGACGAAGGACTAAAAGATAGGCTAGGGAGCCTGGGGCCAGTTGGGTGGCCTCGTGGAGTGGAACAG